GCTGTGATTTATAGCGTGTGTTATAAAGGTTGTTAAGTGTATTACAAAGTTGCATCGAGAAAGAATAAACTAGTTTTAATTAAGAAAGGACTTGTATTGCTGAAGTTCCTCGGAAAGAATTTATACCGGAAATTGAAAAACGAGCAGAGACGTAACAACACCTTAAAAAGCAGATTTATTTTTCAAACAACACTCAAATCTTCCTTTTGAATAGTTAAGACCGCAAACATTGATAATAAACATAATAAGTTATTTCACGATAGTTAGACAAAATCAAAATTTGCTCATTTGTTCACATTATTATAATTGTTTCACAAGCCTACAATAATATCGGCTGGGTATTTTGGACGAAAATATGGACAGGTATACTATATGAAATGCTGTGAATGTCCATGGCATACTTAAAAGTTGATTATTTGTCATTGAAAGTTGATTTACATGGTTATAAATACATTATTTGTTTGTTTGTTATGGATTTTGCGCAAAGCTACACGAAGGATATTTGCACTAGCCGTCCTTAATTTAGCAGTGGGAATTTAGACTAGAGGGAAGGTAGCTACTTATCACCACCCACCGCCATCTCTTGGGCTACTCTTTTACTTTTACCAACGAATAGTGGGATTCACCGTCACATTATAACGCCACCACGGCTGAAAAGGCGAGCATATTTGGTATGACAGGGATTCGAACCCGCGACCCACAGATTGCGAGTCGCGCGCCCAAACTACCTGGCCATGCCGGGCCGTATAAATACATAATAGATATGATGGCTTCATTTGTACTCGATGCATGTAAAAGGCGTATTTACACGGAACCTCAAGCACAAAGCCTCCTGGCCTACTAAATAGTTATTTTAAAAGACACTAAGCTTTATTTAAAGCGATGTTTTAGACGAATTTGTTTTATTTGAAAGAGCTGCTTTTCTACCAGTAAAATGTTATTCAAGCTTATTGGAGGTTGTGTCTTATTCTAGGCACATATTTGCCCATTACTGTGCATTGACAAAACCAACATACAAGATAAATAATAAATGAGTATATACAATTTACAAATAGGGATCGCAAAAAATTAAGCAAACAAGGTTGAAGATCTACTGCTGAATATTTGCTCAAGCTACAAATCCCTATGACTCCACTATAGAATTATTGCAAGTGATGTCTACTGTAGTGTGGGATCGAACAGGAGAGAAAAATAGAGAGAGTGCTTTTAAACATAATACGATTTCTATAATTTCGTCCTTCACTTTCCGTCATAAAAAAATCCGGTGTTTTCCTAGCGTGAACGATAGTTGGAAACTACAACTCGTGCATTTATAATCAAATTAATCAAATTAACTTCCACGTGAAAGGTTCCAGGTTTCGCTGTTGCATATCATTACTCGAGTTTGCTGTCTCTACGTCGATTTTCACGACTATATTTCAGGAAGTTTGTAACAGTAGACAATTACCATTTGATTTCTTTACTCAGACGACGGCGGTGATTCTTTCTACTGTTTCTTATATTTAGCTGAAATAGTGAGTGTGTTTTCATTATTTATTACCACTGCATATAGCAATATTTCATATAGTTTTTGCTATTTTTAAATAGTTGGTGTTAAGGTAGCAGTTGTAAATGTTGTGGATAATTGTCGACTTACGTTAAGTGTGTCGCTGTTGTCTATTTTGCATGCATTATTTGTGTGGCCTTATTCTAGCAAACACTTGTGCACCACAGGCTCTTGAAGAACATACGTACGTGTCATGTAGACCTAACAAGGTAAGTTTGTTTCTTTGTTTGTAATTAGGCACAAAGCTACACAATGGGATATCTGTACTCTGCCCACCACGGGTATCGAAACTCTGATTCTAGCATTGTAAGTCCGCAGACATACCGCTGTGCCATTGGGGGGCAACAAGGTAAGCATGTTACTGGGTCTGTTTACACTACATTAATCCGTGTTATATTATCATAGAAGAAATATGATTCCGTTCTGATGAGATTGCTTTGTTGTTGCTCGTCTGTTGTTACATTACACTGTGATATTGATGGAAGCCGGTCATTAAATCTGTGAGGATACAATATTTGCCTTCAAGAAGATTCTTTGAGAACAACTTTACAATTTGTTTGTTGTAGTTGCATACCAATATATGTGTATATTCTTTGTTGTACATTTGTTATTTATTTTAAAAAGTTCAGTGTGGCGGTTGGGTGGAAAAACAAGAAAAACAATGCAAGACTAAACTGTTGAAAAACATGTAACATTCAATTGAACGTATATGCACGTATGTAGTTTAAAATTTATTCTCTATAAATGGGCATAATAAAATTTAAGAGACAAGATTAGTAAAAATTCTTAAGTTAAAAAGTGGAAAAGGAATCGTCACAAAAGTACAGAAACAAGTTGAATAAAAATGCAAATATTATATTTTCAAGCCTACAACTGGGGACTCTAAAAAATAAACAAACAAGGCTGGAAATAATATGTACATTATTTTATCAAGCCACAAATCCCTATTTTAACTCCATGTTTACAGTACTTATCAATTTTAGTGCATATAAAATAGGGACTTGTAGTTTGAGAATATAGTGACACACACTGTTTCTAGCCTTGTCCGTTTACTTTTTTCGAGTCTCTAGTTGTAGGCTTGAAAAATAATATTTACATTTTTATTCAACTTTTTCCTGTACTTTTTCGACTATCACTATTCCTCCTTTTTAAATTAACAATTTTCACTATTCTTGTTTTGCCTTAGACTTAATTTAACGAAATCTATGCCCATAACGTTTTTAACTTTTCAGTTAATCGCCTAATGTTTAGTCTTGAACTTATTAAACCAATATACTAAAATTGGTATTTTCAAATAAAACTTAAAGTTTATATAATGTGTTAAAATACATGTTTCATGAGTATGAGAGATTTGTAAAATTGCAACATATTACTACATAATCCATTTCTCTTTGTTTAGCAATTTATTCACAGTGCTGCCAACGCCACAAAGCAGGAAGTCGCCAGAGAATCTTTGAAAAGTCGCTAGATGTCGCCATTGAGACATTGTAAAGGCTTCAAAAATGTCAATAAACAAATCTTTAGAATTGAATAGTGAATACAAAAATTTCTACGCATTTCTATATATATACAGGATCGAAAATAAATTCTTGCTGCAATAATGCATATATGTTTAAAGAGAAAGGTTTACAAAAATGAAAACTGTTCGTGCAAATCAAGTGATTTGTTTGTTGAATTTCACGCACAGCCACTCGAAGTCTATCTGCGCTACTCGTCTCTAATTTAGAAGTGATAGACTAGAAGTAAGTCGGATATTTGTCTCTTGTAATACACTTTCTTTCTAACGAAAGGTGTGATTGATTGTCACATTATAACGCTTTCGCAGCTGAAAGGTGAAACACGTTCAGTAACAGGAATCAAACCCGAGATATGCACATTGCGAGGCGAGCGCCCGAACCATCAGGCCGCAAACCAACTGAGTGAAATGTTTCGAGCTTATAGATTAGTTGTTTTTCTAATAGTTTTCTGTTTTTAGTTGGAAAATGCCTAAGACCTAGGATAGAAAAATCGTCAACGGCATTTTCATTGTTTGTTAAATGTTTGTCAAAATGTGTATTTTTGTCATTTGTTGTCTAATTTGACTTAAATACTGTTTTGATCAGGTCTCAGAATCTACGTCCTGTTCGTCCTACATAAAATTGACCAGGCTAGATTAACAAAGTGGCAGGATATAGTATCAAGAGGCCTACAGCCAATGCGTTTTATTTTGTAATTGCCTTCTGAAATATTTGTATTTATTTATTTATTTTGTAGAGTACTTACTGAAACAGTGACAGGATTGGAGAGAAAAATATTTAATTTAATAAACCTTAGTCGAAAATCCGTTGTCATCATTACTAACCTGATTAATGGGAATAAATTTTGAGTTTAGAATGAAATGTGAAGTGGGATTAAGGTGGAAAAAGTCATACAGAAAGAGGTAAAACTACTTATTTTCATAAATTACTTTTCATCTTTTGAAGTTATATACATTCGTATACACACACACACACACATACATATATATAAACGGTTCTTCGTTTAGATATAAAAAACGTGAGTTTACCATAATTTTGCAATTTATCATGAGTAAAACCAAGCACCTGCACAATCGTTTAGTGAGAGTGATATTGATCATTTTAGAATCCACGAGAAACACACTGCTAGTATATAAACGGTTAATAGGCCGCATTACGTGTCATTTCTGGGTTTGGTAACAGAGTTGGGCATTCTAAAGGATTCTTTAGAGATGTTGGGGTCCAGACTTCGGGCTAAGAACTTACTTTCTTCAGAGACATCATTTTACTGGTACAAAAATCATGAGAAAGAGTTTATACCATGCT